TTTTTTTTTTTTTTTTTTTTGCCACCTACAAAAAAGGAACAATAGTTTTTTTTTATATTTATATATAAAAAAATCTCTTCTCAAAAACTATAGTATAATGTTCTTCTGAATTTATACATGTTCTTTAATTCTTTTTTCCAAAATTACAATATTTGCAAAAAGTAAATAAACAATGCTCTGAGAAAAAAATAATAATATAAAAAAAAAAATTATATACGCTAATAGATTATAAACAAAAAATATATGTTTGAAACCGGCAGTATATAACGGAAAATTAATGTTTAGGGGATGTGAGTTCAAATTTCCTATATTAAGGAGCGATTAAGTATTAAGGGCCTCACATCCTTATATACTATATAAATTAAGTAATAAATGAATGATAGTTATTGTTTGTTAACAATTTCTTATTTTTTTTTTGTGCTCAACACGAAAAAAAAATTGTTATTGTGTGTGTTAATATTATAATAATAATTAAAAATAAAATTTTTTAATTAAATTTCCGGGTGGAAAAATTCGGCTAAATCTATGGGTCTATCTTTGAGATAATGAGTTAGAACGTCACTATAAGGGTGACAAAGAAAATCTTCAACCCATGCATCAACATATAATGAATCTAAAGTGGCTTTCGTATTTTGAAGGAATTGATCCATTGATTTAGCACAAATGAAAATCCATATATTAAGATGTTTTAAAGTGGAGGGCATATGATGTCCTAATTCAGGCCAAATCTTTTCCATTCCACATTCGGGACTACCCAAAGAAAATAAACTTAGATTTTCAATTTTACATTCTGGTGTGGTAAGAATTTCTTCAAGGAATGAAACTTCATCAGCACTAAGTGCTATACCAAATGTTTTTAATTTTGGTTTCCATTGAGCAATACTTTGTATGATTGAAGTTGATAAAGTATCATGTTCTTCATCTTCCCAAGGTTGATATAAAACTTCTTCCAAATCTAAAGGATTTTTTGAAATAACAACATCCAAAAGGGTTCCCCAAAGAATAGAAGATTCTACAACACGAATCTTACGGAGATTTGGAAATTCGGCAGCTTGAATTGGTGCAATACTACATCCAGGACCATTTGTACAACGACGTATTTCCAATTCTTCAAGGTTAGAACAAATTGTCAAGGCTGAAATAGAACAATCACTAGGGAAAGGAATACCATGAAGTTTAAGAGAAACGAGCGTATCAGATTGACTTGCAAGTGGTGTTAAAACATTTGATGTAAATCCATTAACAGAATCATAACATGTTAACGAAAATTGACGTAATTTAAGTTGAGAAAATATCAACGACGATAAAAATTGTTGATCGTTAAAATTTTTTAAACCAGAATCTGATGATTTAACCACTGATAAATTTTCAATATTTACAGCTTGTTTATGTAAAGCGTCAAAAAGGAAGGTATCGGTAGTATAACGAATAGATAAATCTCTAATATTGCGAACATGTAAATCAGATCCATAAGATTTATCCATTAAAGAAGTTTTTTGTCTACTTGGACGATCCAAACTTAAAGAGTAAATATTTGAACGATCATCAAAGAATATTCGACAAAGGGCATGATATACACTAAGTGCCATCTCATTAATCTCATTACATCTAAAAAAAAAAAAAATTTTTTGAGATGATATTTACCTATAATTTGCCAAACTACGTCGTTTTACAGAGGTTTGTAATGTCCATTGATGAACAGCAGAATAAAGACTTTCTAAACTAACATGTGGAAGAAAAGAAGCGTAGTTAAAAGTTGGAGGTCTTTTAAATACAGTAGGAATTCTTATTCCAGCTTGAATAAGTTCGGCTCTCTCATCATCACTTAGACATGCGATAAAATTGTTTATAAGGGAAGCAGGGGGAGGAGTTGACTGTCGAAAAGGCTTAGACCATAAATAAGGCATAGCAGTTTCGCACCAAAGTCTATTAACAAGAATACATGAATGAAGTGATTTTGTATCATCTTTAAGAAGAGTAAAAATTTCATATAGACAATCAGCAGGAAGACGAGGAGAGTGACTTTTGTTCTTTCTTCCAAAGAAACGGAACAAAGATTTCCTGCGTTGTAAATCACTCATTTTTGTTATTAACGCAAGTTATGTTTCAAAATATATTTAAGAAATATACCGAATATAATTTATATTTATTTAAACTTTTTTTGTGTTCAAAAAAAATTATTAACGAAGAAGATAAGAGAGTTATGAAAAAAAAAATAAAAAATAAGAAATAAAAAAAATACGACCGAGGAAAAAAAACAGAAAATGAGGCAAGAGTTAATAATACACAACGATATAGTTCAGGAAATTTCTCGACTTGAACTTATTTGTTTATTGTCGTATTCATATAATAAAAATATTGATTATTGGATAAATTAAATAAATGTTATACACATAAAAAAAGTACACGCACGCATCACATAGCAGATAAGTCTATTTATAAATGATATTCGGTTCAATGCTTGGTCCGATCACCGGTCTAATTAAGGTGACTAATAAACATATGTTACACTACAATATTTTTGCCTATAAAGAGAATAAAGAAAAAAAGTCAAGAAAATAAGAAAATACTATCGTTTTTATTATTATTATCTATCTGAAACAAAGGCAACAAAAGAAAAAAATTTCAGAAAATTTCGGACCGTCATAATATTAACTTTATTATTACAATAGTAAAAACTATTAACCGATTAATAAGAATTATTTGAATAATTATAAACGGGGAAATAGCCATTATGCTTCTGCATAGTTTATCGGAGATTTACTTAAAATTCCCACTAAATTTAGGATAGCTTTAATGATATCACCTGATGAGGTAAAAATAACCCTAAAGCATGCGGGTCTTACTCAGTTTATTCGGTTTATTTGGACATGTAAGGGTAAAAATGTAAGAAATAATTTGTCAAAGAAATATAAACATATCTGTTGTGAACTGATTCCAAGGGTTACCAAATGTTACATCACATTTGATTTTGGGTACACATCTAGTATTCACGTGATTTGTTTTCAGTATAAAGTGATAAAAATATGTTTTCAGTTTTTCAGTTTTCTTTTAAATAATAAATAAAGCATGGGAGTTTGATTTCCTTTTAGGCTTCACCTCCTTTACTAAAAAAGGGTATAATTACAGCTGATATAGAAAAACGGAAATACGGCAAGTTTAAAATTTGTTTTGCAAGGTACGAAACTGAAACTGGATTCTTAAATATCATAATATTTATTTTAATAATGGGATTGTATTTAACTTAAGACGGAAATTATCGGAATGATTGAAATTTTTAATATAAACTTCTCCTGTTAATAAAATTCTTCATCCCTTCGTACAATCAAAACAAATTAATACTAAAAAAGATTAAGATTTCCATAGTTCATTTTCGTTTCGGAAACGGAATAATTATAATGGGATAATTTGGCGTACACAATCCAGAACTTTATAATTCAGGAATATGTAACAAACACAATTGCTTGATCATCAAATTACTTCCGTGAAAAGTTTTTTGATAATCCGTCTGAGTAAATATATAGCTTTCTCCGACAATTTCATAACCTGAGAAATATATTAAACCATTTTATATTTAAAGCAAAGATGTAATTAGAATAGTTATTTCTTTTACCTTTTGTTTATATCATTTTTAGGCGTGAAAGATTACAAAATTTCAAGCAGCATCTTTTCAACAAAATGTTTAGTCATCTGAGTTCTGAGAAAAAAGTTTAGAATAAACATTTGAATCATATGATATATAAATAGCAGAATCTTGATGTCATGGAAAAACTGCCACTTATACTATATATGTCTCTTATACCATGTATGAGATCATTATATTATTGATTTTACCTGTAAAAAGTACGTTTTAATGTTGGAATTCTGCCCAAATTAGCTTAATTTTATTTGCAACGCCAGCCCGAAATTAGAATAGTGGCGATCATCAGCATAAGTCAAATATATAATTGCGTGACACAGTATACTCACAATATAGTATTATAAATCTTCTATTCCATATATTACAATAATAATATTAATAATATTATCCTTTAAAAAGGGAAAGTATATAAATAAATTCATGTGATATCTGATAATTTTATCGGGTAAATCAAGAAATCACCGTAAATCTCGCACTATTTGTTTATTGAGGCGTTAATCTTTAAAGCATTCAGTCAGATTGAGTAATACCTTTCAGATTCAGTAATAAGTAATAAGTATTCTGACATTAAAGGATCTTATTACCCAATTAAGTATAATATCTCGAGTCAACAACGTAAATCGTTGTAAATTTCTAATTGAAGTGGCTATCGTGTTCTCTATCCATAAACGGAAGCTAGTTTCCACATAAGTATTCTAAATAATAAATGTCGACTGAGTTATGCTGTTATGCTTCTTCACACTTTACACTTTGCCAATCGGCAATGTAGACGTTAAAAGGTTGAATATTTCCGTTGTTAAGATAATGAATTCCTCCCAGTTTCTGTTGGGTGACAGCAGAAATTGAAGACGTTTACTTCATGACGCACTTTCCCAAAATGCAGTAAACTTGGGGTTATGATCCATGACTTTCTAATTGTGTCTCTCACATACCCGTAGAAACGTCTATTGGACGAATTTTATGCAAACTGTAAACTATATGATAGTATTAAAAGTACTTTTAGAAAAGGGTTTGTTTGCTCTTCGCGCGAATTGTGCGCCATTTATCTTCCCGGTATTTGCTGCGGTTACCGAATAAATTATGGCGACTAATATTTGATGTCTAGAAAATTATCCCAGTTAAACCAAGAGTGAGGAAAGTTTGAATTATGCTTAATGTTTAGAACCTTGAAAAGTTGGACAATTTTTGTTATCCCTTTCGAGTAAGATAAACAGTACGTCCTTCAAATTCCCTGGATTCCAATAGGTGATCAGTAATCGTCACACTCGTTGTATAATCTGAATCATCAAACAAAGCGTGTGAGTATCTTTTTCTTAGCATTTACACATTCTCAATTGTATTAAATAATATACCACCTTTCTAATTGCAGTCAAAACGGAGCGGAGAAATGATATAAGTAAATCGTAAGGTCGATAATTGTTGTACCAATTGAATTAGGATGGTATTTAGCGAGAATCATGATATTCATGATACTCATCAATGGAAAAGAGGTACTCAATCTGCATAAAAAAAAAATTTTTTTTTTTAATGTTTGTAATATACATATATTATCTAAAATACCCTTTAAAAAAATTCTAACCGGTTGATTTCTCTATTTAGTTCACTTACCTAAATCTTTCGTAGTAGGATGCTTTAATTATCCACAAAGTTCGATAAAGACTGTTCGGCGACACTAGAAAAGGCATGAACTGCTGGATTGACATACCCGTAAAATCTTTTTAAATTATAGTTTTATATTTATTTTGTAATTGCATAGTCTTTTAACATTGATTTGTAACATCAAGAATTGAACATCACAGAAATCACAAAATAAATATGATGTATCATCAGCGAAGTGTGGTCCTTTAAGTGGAAATACTAAAGCATTGTACCAATAAAGAAGTTCTCTTTTAGATGAGGTTATTCAACAGTATCAACAGTATCAACAGTTTAGAATGCTAAAAGTACGCAGTATCACAGTATAGAAAGCTAAAAGTGCGCCTGAATTATTTCTATGTTGAACTTGGTAGCCAAGATGATACTTTGCATCGAATTATGGATACCATCAAAATCTTCTGATGTTCTTGAAAGTGAAAGTCACCAGCGTGTTGTTCAACATTTTTAGGAAAGCGTTAAATAAGGGTCAGCCGATTTTGTACGGCTTCGATTACGCATATTGGGCAAGCGGCTTGATCAGCTATAAGATCCACGATGAGTGATCCAAAATTTCATCAATTTCTGAAGCTCGGACAAATAATCAAGCTGACTTCTGAAATACTCATCCATGGAAATATTGGGAAGAATCTTTTAATTGCAACGCATATGGAGCATATGGAATATGGCGTAACGCCGTAACGCCGTAACGATCGAAAAAGGATGGTTTTCTGCGGATAATGATATAATAAGATATACGGTGTGGAACAACTTGCTGTTAGTAATGCAAGTCTTCATGTGTAATATTTGCTCAATTTCGAAATAATTAAATAATTTCAAAGAGGAAAGAACAATATGAGGCATATGTGGGATTTTTAGAAACTATAGAATTTGTAATAAAAATGATATAAATGGCATTCAGTTATAAGCTTAGTGTGTTAGAACCCGAAAACTTTTTTTTTTGTAATGTGATGCAATTTATAAATTAATTAATTACATAAAAGCAAATTATAAATCTATTACATGAGAGTAAATTATATATATAAATCTATATGGGAGTAAATTATATAATATATAATCTACTCAGTACATGAGTAAATTATATATAAATCTACTCTAAATGGAATTATAATCTACTTAGTACATCAGAAGATTGCTTCCGCCCTACCATCACCACCTAGTATTCTATATTCCCATAAGTAGCTTCTAGTCATACAAGATCATTACAGTACATAAGATGGTTTCAAGTAAACGAGAACCTGAAAATCTTACATATGATATTCAAATTGAGTGTACGTACAAAAAATATTTTATAATAAAGTTAATCTTAAGATAATTTATCTGTTTCGTCTGTTTATGATCTTTTTTGTTTAATCGCCCTAACCCGACAGTAATTTCATATAGTCGTAATTACATCCGACTTGTATTCGCTCTAATCCGACAGTAATTTCATATAGTCGTAATTACAAGAATAGAACCGGCTTTATTTAATTTTGGGTTCTTTAATTAAATTTGTGAACTAGATAAATCTTTTTAATTGGATAATGTTAATAATATTGGCGATTGTGGTTCGGTTCGGGCCGAATCGAATCAATTAATAAGATTGATTTCTAGATCTATTTCTTAATAAAGAAGCTAACCATATTATTACATTACATCAAAACAAAAATATTAATTATCGCTACTATTTGGTATTTAGGATTTTTTCCGCCAGTTATATAAACTTCGGGTGATACCCCATTTATATACTACTAGATCAGTAAATAACTAATACATATACTACCATCACTGAATATAACGAGACTATCGTTCCACGGTTCCGGTTCTATAAAAGAGCTGCCAATAAAATTAAGGATACGTGATTTTACTTTTGCATAATACGAAAAAAAAAAAATTTTTTTTTTTTTTTTTTTTTAAATTGAAGCGTATATAAAAATAATATTTAATTTTATGAATTATAAGTGAATCTCTGAATGAAATATAAAAAATTTTTAATTTTGAAAGAAAGTAAATGTTAAAAATGCGGTCGAGAATTAAATAGGTATTAATTTTACAAATTGGTAAAAGAATTAAATGATAGAACTCATCAACATGTGAATAAGTTGTATCGTGATTTTTGCAAAATACATTCATAAATCATAATTCAATGCTATTTATTATAACACTCGTACAACTTAATTGAATTTGCACATGATGAAATTTAACAAATTCGAAATCCCGAATAGCAATGTTAACAGTAAGAATTCCGTTTCACTCCGTCATCCATTAGGATATTGATATTTTAGGCTTCTCAACTAGTTTATAGTAATTTCAGACTAATTCAGTAGTTTATCGGTTATGACGTTATTACGTTCATTTAAAGAAAGATGGAATCGTCCCAATATATAAAGTTGAATTGAACAAAAACTATGTATGTAATGTATCAATTCTATTAGTTCATCGTAAAGGGACTAAATATGAAAAAATATAGAAATAGTATACAATTAAGAATTTGATCATGAAAAATTTGAAACGCGTGTCATCTACGAAGTAACAAATCCGAATAATGACGATATCAGATATTTTACAGGATAGGTGCTACCAGTAATTCAAACATTGTTATCAATCGAAACACTTTGATTTATCCGAGTCGTATAGAGCCTGCTCCTCAAAAAATGCTGTATCTAAGCGATTGAGAATTGAATATAGTGTGTTTATAGGTTCGAATGCAAATTCCAAGTTTCGGGTTAATTAAGGATCATAAGCTGGAGTAAGAGCGACAAAGACAAATCCACGTTTTCCTAAAATATACAAAAATTGGGAATTATATGATATTTTTTTTACGCAAAATTTTCTAAAATGAAAAATTCGCTTTTTCACAAATTAATTTCGATCCACAACAGAAATATTTCACATTTCGTAATCATTTAAAAGATTTCATGCAAAGTAAATGAAAGAACCATATAAAACTTTGATTTTCTCAACCTCACAATTTTACAATCCTTATATTGGAGGAAATAAAGGTTGAGCGTAAAGTGTTAGAAATCTTGTTATTTAACCGAGGATAGAAGGTAAAAGCAGATTAAATTGCTCATCAGTAAACGACACAATCGTTGGTTGAAGATTCAATTCTAAAGTCGCATAGTCAATTAGGAATATACGATACGATTTAATAAATCATTATTATGCAGCCAAATAGACATACTGAAAGATCTCTTTTGTATTTTTGACACATTACATCATTTAGATTAAATATCACATATATTAACTTTTACAGGTAAAATCTATAAGCATGATTAATAACATAATAACAATTATCACCTGGCTACTAATTGGTATTTAGGATTTTTTCCGCCAGTTATAAACTGGCGGACCAATTAGTATATCCAGGATGATAAAAAAGTTATTTACTGATCTAGTTTAGTATATAAATGGGTCAGGATGATAACCCATTTATATACTACTAGATTAGTAAATAACTAATACTTATTGGATAGTGATGCGAACTGCTTCACAGTTCGGTGATATCCAATAAACTATTTAATATTTTTTGAGACGTAACAAATTGATAACATTGCAAATTTGCAATATTGCAATGCCTTATTGGTTACCGCAGTATTCCTAACGACCACACAGTCCACACTTGATCGATATTTTTACACCCATCCAATAATTTATTCGAAAAAAACCCTTTTACGGAAATTTTATTGCACATTTTAAATTATTAAATCTAACGGAGCAAGTGAAGAAGGCAAGTTTAAAATTTCTCAGTGAAGATAGATACATTCCTTTAAGTATATACTGTATCATCATCAGAGTATAAAATTGATCACGTAGAATCACAAGATAATCATTATAATCATTGTACTTTACAAAAGTGTATATATTTTTTATGGATAAATATTTATATGTAAATTGTATTATGCCAAATTAAGGATTGATGGAAATACTGCGCGCGTTTATGGGAATAATCGCTGAACTGGAACTAATTCATAATGGAGAGATTTATCGAACTAGACCTATCGGAGTATTGAGTAGGACTAGATTGGATTAGTCGGTAATTTAAAGTATTTCCAATTCAGTCCAGTATTTCCGCCAAAAGATTAAATCTTAGCCAGAATTAATATCTGGCTCGAATTAACAATTAAACTCCGATTTATTTTATGACGTACGCAGTATATATAACAGTTAACACGTTTAAAGTTTCATTTTATAAAAATGACTTATATGAATATAGTACAATTTATAAAAAAATTATGTCATCTTGATCCAATATACTTTTTAGGGTGTTAAAACAATTTCTTAGGGAAAACAAATATCTTACAAATATCTTATGTCAAATGATGTAAATAGTAAGATTTTTAGAAAAAAAATGGACTTAGTATAAGTGTAATAACAAGATAAATATATATATATTATTATTATATTATTTTCGTGTCTAAAGATTTTAATAATATTAATATGATAAAATTATTAAGTAATTAATTACCGATATATATGAACGCACTTTACATCATTTATTCTATCTATAAAGAAAAAGTTAATTTAATTAATTGAACTAAAATATTTCAAATATAAAAATCATGATGAAATAAAAAAAGATACCAATATATAATAAAAATAATTATTAGGCGCAGCATCACGTATTTTCATAATAAGAAAGGAAAATAGTTGTTCCAGTTACAGGAGTTAAAACCCGCGTCCCATTTTCATAATTTATATGTAATTATTCTAGAAAAAATCCAAATAAATATATGTAACTAAGTAACTATATTGGGAGTAGGCATAAAAAAGGACAATAACTCAGAGAAACTAAAACTTTTATATCCTAGTTTAAATGATTTTTCGCGTTAGATTCATGCTTTATATATACATATATATTTTTATTTGTTCACGTGAAAAAAACAATTGAAAAATAATCTTAATTCAACCTAAAAAGCAATTTAGTTAAAGTTATATGTATCATTACTTCAAAAAAAAATTAAAGATTTTCTTTTTATAAAAAAAGGTTATAATTAATGATGAACAAATGACGCGTTAAATGAAATATTCTAACGTAAATTGTTTAAGAATATAATAATTAATAAAAAATTCAATTAACTTTATTTTAAATAATGTTTATATTATGACGTAAAATCAGCGAATCATGTGTAATCTTCAAATGAAAATGGTTAATTGTGTTAATTGTGCCATTGTCTTAAGCTGTAACCAGTTCAAAAATATCTTATTTTAAATAGGGTAAATTATCAATTAATAAAAGTAACCAAAACAATAAACAATATATTCGGGGGTGAAAATATTGGGAAATGATTAGAAATATTAAATTAATTTAAATCCATTTAATTTAATTAATGATCAAAAAGCAAGGGTTAAAAAATGGTAATTGAGAATAACAAGGATCTTTTTTTTTATATATAATAAGAAATATGCAAGGTCTCGAGTGATATTTCTTTCTATTGATCTTATTTGGGTTAATGTCTGGTTTCAATGTAAAACAAAATAAGTAAAGCCTTATTTATTTTATTTTGATAAATATGAAAACCGCATGTTGCATGCATTAATTTAAATTATTAAAGGAGAATCTTTTGTTTGAAAGAAATAAAGATTGCATTGCATTTTCATATTAATTTTTTTTTTTTATATTTATTTATTTATTTATTTTCTTTCTTTCTTTCTTTATATATTTTCTAAAAATAGAAAAAAAAAAACGAAAAACCATAACCTTCTTTTTATTATTATTCGTTTGATTTTCAACAAATAATTCGAAGATTATTTATCTTTTTTCGAACGTTATATTTAAACAAGATTTGTTAAATAATTAACCTTCCCTTCTTTCTTATTTAAATTGTACAAAAAAAAAAGAAAGGAAAAAGGATTTCAAACATCAGATCAACAAGACATTACATTGACGAGTGATAACCTATACATTCATTCTATCATACACACAACATATCTTATACTTAATATACATCAAAAATCAAAATATAGGTCAATTGATAAAACTTAGAGTTTAAACCTAATTAAATGCAATTTATCCATAATAATTGTTTATCTCAAAATGGATCGCGGGATAGAAAAAAAAAAAAAAAACTCAGGATATTCTGATTTTTAATCAACAAGTCAAATTAGTTAAATGTATGTGTAACCAAATATGAAGATTATCGGTTACCGCACCGTTAATTTGTACCGAGTCCCCATTCCAATTCGGAAGATTGGTTATGGGAACTGAATAAAAATGCATCAAAGGCAAAATTAATCTCCTGACAAAACTATTCAATGACTTTTGTCATGATCTTTAATAACCTTAATAACCTTATTATATAACAAACAGAAATACAGAAATAAAAATAAACACGCCATTAAAAATTTCGATACCACATTTTTTTCTCACACGCAATCGTATCGCATTAAATTTCAAATGTAAAAAAGAAAAAAAAAAGCCAATAAGACATCTCTGGTAATAATTACATGCTTTTGGCTGTACTTTCATAATTTTCAAAAACTTTTAGGCAATTATTTGCACATTGTTATCCCAATTTCATTTGAAAGAAAGTAATTTTTATTTACCTGTTTTCTTATTTCGATATCATTGAAAAAAAAAAAATGTAATGTGAACATATGTTATTTAGAATCATTTTACCATATTACCGATAAAAAAGTAAATACATAATTGGCACAATGGATGTAAATTATTATTGGATGTTAAATTTGCACTAGGCCCCATGTTATTTAGATGCATAAAAGAACATTTACAATCGTTACATTTTTTTTTTTTTCAATAACAACAATAAATTTAAAAATGGGATGATCAAAGAAAAAGATGCAATATGTAATGCACCTACTGCTCTAAAGTTTTTTTTATATATACTTTTACTTGTACTTGCTTTATTATTATTAATATTTGCTTTTGATTCGTGTGAAAGGAATTTTTTCTTCTTAAGTTATTTTTATTTTATTTATTTATTTATTCTCATTTTATTTTACTTTTTTTATTATTTTATTAATTTTATTTTATTTTTATTTTATTTTTATTTTTATTTTATTTTTTTTTTTTCGACCCGAGCAAATCAAGGTATTGCAGCTATAACCCGTCCCCAAACAATATCCATATTCAGTTTTATTAATTTAATTCCCTATAATTATGCAAAATATGTGAAATAAAGAACAATCATAAAAAAAAAAAAATTCGGGTGTTACATTAGTAATATCCGAAATTTCCACCAACAATTGGAATTTCAACAATAAAGCCGCAG